GAGGGGCTAGGCTTGAGAGTTTGGGGCACCTTTGGCTTGGTGGGCCTTCTGGCAGTTGTATCTGTTCAAAAGAGTCCTCTGTGCACAAGAACAACAACAAACCATCTTAGCTACAGATAGTCCCCAATTTAAGAACGAGTTTTGTTCCCCTGGCCTGTCCTTAAGTCGAATTAGTACATAAGCCAGAACAGTATTATTGTATAATACTGTGTAAGTAGTATTGTGTAACGAACTATTGTGTATTTAACTCGAATTGTTGTGTATTTAACTCAAGTTTTGCTACAGTAGGCTCCATTCTTAACTATGGCTCATCTGTAACCCAGTGTTCTGTTACTTTGCTTAAGAAAACAGGAAGCCATAAAAGGATTTTTTCTTCTTTTCTATCCACTGAATTTTGTGTAGGACTGGGCTTGTCTGTTAGCCATCATTTGAAATTTAGGAAGGAGCTCCCTGTTTCTTACCAATGCTGTGTGTTTGGGTTTTATTTACTGTAGTCCCTCCTATCACACTCCATGAGATTTTTCAGAGGTGTAAGGTTAGATGTATATGCATGCTGTATCTAGCCTGGCCCACTTCTCTTCCCAAAGTTTTATGTCACACAATCAATAGAAATGTAAAAGCACCATTAATAAATAGTGCAATCCATAAGCATACCTGTCCCTGAAATAATTATAGACTCAAACCTTGGGGGGGGAGTCCTCTGAGTTTAAATATTTGCCGTTTGATTGCAGAGGCCTTGAGAAAAGGGATAGCTGACATTGGGAATGAATGTCAGCTTTTTTCCTCCTTGCATCCACAGTTTTGTATAAAGTTGGCCCTGTAGGCTGGTTATTATTTTAAGTTATTTTTGCATCAGTATAAGAACTTGCAATGGGAACAGCCTTAGCTAGTATTTGATACCATTGGTTGTGTTTTTATGCAGTAGAATGTAGCATTTTAACCTGAAACCATCTCGCGGATCCTGCAATGGACCGAGATCTTTCTCTTGCATCCTGGACTGATCCTTTGGGTGTCCCACTTACTACCTCTCTCCAATTTGAATGAGCAGCCTTTAGACACATTTTTCATTACAATTACATATCCGCTTAGTTGTCAAGCCAACCACTCTACACTTAATTAGCCTGCTAATCATCCTGTCAAATGCTCTGTTGTAGGCTAAATATATGTTGCATGTCTACAGCATTCCCACAATCTGAAGGAAGTTAACTTGATCAAATAGTGAGAAAAGATTAGTTCTTGAAAATTCATGTTGGCTTCTGGTAATTATTCCCCTGATCTCAGGATTTCTGCTCCAGAATCTTCTCAAGTACCTTCGTCAGATTCACTCAGCTAGTTCTCTGGATCTTTCCTTTCTTCCTTTTTTGAAAATAGGGACAGCATTTGCTTTCCTCCAGCCATCTGGCTCCACTTCTTCAGGATTTTTCAAGTGCTAGACAGTCAGCTATTTCCTTCAGTATCCTAGGGTGCTATGTCTAAAGAAGTCATCCTTGATATTTTTAGCATCCCTGACAAACCTCAGCTCACTCTGAGCTCAGCCTACAGTTCAGGGCTCTCTCTCTGTATTGTTCTTTTGTGATGGGGCTCTGCATTTTCTTTCATCTGCCTTTGCTTTCAGATCTCGACTAAGTTTATGTAAAGGCATGTCAATTTCTTCTGCTTTCCTCCACCTTTTTTTCCCCTCGTTGGACCTGCTTGCAGTTATGCTTTGGATATCTTCTTCAGAAATTCCCACCTGACTAGAGTATCTTTTTCCATCAACTTTTCTTGCTGTGGATTTATTTATTGGATGTTTAAAGCTGCCCAACTCCAAATAGACTCAGAGCAGCTTATTCTTATTTATTATCATTGCTGTGAATTTATTAAAAAGAGCTGGTTTGGTCTAGTGATTAAGGCTCCAGGCTAGAAACCAGGAGACGGTGAGCTCTAGTCCCACCTTAGCCATGAGAGCCGGCTGGGTGACTTTGGGCCAGTTCCCCTCTGTCAGACCAACTCACCTCACAGGATTATTGTGGGGAAAATAGGAGGAGGAAGGAGTGTAGGTATGTTCGCTGCCTTGGATTGCTTATAAAAATAATAAAGGCGGGATCAAAAATATTTTAAAGAAAGGTTGTTGGTGTTTTTTTTGTAGTACAGGATATGTGTTGGGCTATGTTCAGTTCTGGTTTCCCTTAAAATCAAGAACTCTGGCATTACACATTCACTTCCCCAATGTCCTGCCACTTCCATTTCTTCAGCTAAGTCTTCCCTGTTTATTGGTATAGTAAACTACATTCTAGAGGTGTGCAAATGTAAAACTTTCCAAGTTTGAAGGGGTCTCTTGTGTTGCTCTCAGTTTGGAATGGGTTGTTTTGAGCTTGAAACACTTCCAAAATGATCAGAATAATCTGACTCAGAACTGGGTTTCTGACTTGAAGCTGAAAATGTTTCAAATTTGAAGACAGTGGCATTGCCAAGAACCTGCATGGATGTGCCTCTGAAGTCACTCAGAATCATGTTTGACTGAAGGGAGACTTCACCATCTTAGATTCACCCATCAGACTAAGCTACAAAAAAATAGCCCAGAGTTGTTGGTCACCACTGACAAATTGGGCCTGTTGTTTAAAAACCCTGACCTGATAAAATGCAGCTTTGTTCTGAGCAGGTAGTCCTCCAGTGACACTCAGTAAGTGTTCTGTTTCCATGTGCTCCTGGCACCTTCCTCTCTGGACATTGCAGAGGTCAAGGGGAGCATTTGTCACAGTGACCCAGTTGGAAATTTTATTTATTTATTCATTCAGTTTGGGTGACACCTGACTCCATCTGATTTTGAGAGCATGTAATGAGCACGTGCACAAAATAGCCATTCATAAAATGGCTGCCACATGGCCGTGGCCAACTACAACATAACCGTTTACCAGAATGCAAGCAAGCTACCTCTTCTGCCTGGATGTTCTCTGTCCTTTCGTTGGGACTTTATATAAGGTTCAAAGGCAGTACTGCAGGCAAATAGGATGGAAGCTGATGCTTCATTTTGCAATATGTAAGATTTCTGTGCTTATATTTTCTTAAAAGACGCTTTAAAAAGAAATCAGGTGGCGACACCAAGAGAGATATTGGGGGGAACATGGGTGTCCGTGGGCATGATATGACCTTGGTGCTGGTTTTCCTCCAAACCCTTGAAAACAGTGGGGTATTATACCCCGCATTTTTCAGTGATTTACCCCCAGACTTTCACTTCTGTATCTTAAAACCATCTTATGTAGTTGGTTTTGGGAAATACCTTTTCCCCACATCTACCTAGTGTCGTTTCTGCAGCTTTGTATTCTTGCCTCTAAACTGTCAGAAAGTTTCCATGCAGTTATGGTGTCCCTGTTGATTTTTTGCTTCTTCTTGTTCCCCACGATTTCCTTGGTCAACTAAGTAGGGGAAGAGGAGCTATGTAACCCTTTGTATTCTGGGCCTGGCAAACCTGTTCTTGATCTGTGCACTCTATAAAGAATGTGTTTCTGCATTAGTGATTCCAGTCTGGAGAGTTGAATGTGCTATTTTCATAACTGGGCATTGGAAGCACTCTCACACTTCACCCATCCCAAGAAGGTTTGTTTCTAGGGTCAAATTCTGTTCACTTTGGGGTACCATATTTTAACAAGAGCTTTGATAACCGGCAGCTTTATGTGTGGGCAACCTGGAACCAGTCCAGTGGAGTAACATAAAGATGATGAGGGGTATAAAAAGTCCAATTTTGGCAGAATTATTGGAGAAACTAGGAATATTCAGAAGAGAAAGGTAAGACAGATCAAAGGCAGGAACAAATAGATTTCTTAGGGCCAAAGTGTGGAAATTCCAAGAAGTAGATTCCAGAAACTTTCAAACAATTCATTGACTAAGGAAATGGCAGAGCTATGGAGACATTTAAAAAGAAGCTGAAGAGGCCTGCTACAGCTGTTACCGTATTCTGCTATGGTGGAAGGTAGAATATATTATGTCTTTCAGACCTAAAATCTGTCAGACTATTCAGGAGAAAAAGTTCACCAAAGTCTCTGTATCCTGTATCTCAGTGAGAGTTACTTTACCTCCTGAATGGAAGCTAGATCTCCAAACAGCATCTCATGCAGAGGTGCGGCAAGAACGCTCTGCAAATTGTATAATTTCTCTTGCCTGATAAAACATTGGTGATTGAGCAGTTCCTCCAGAATCAGCCACTAGAAGTATATTCTGCTGACACCCACCTGCTCTGCTAGGAATTGCAAACCCAGAGAGAGGCAAAAGAGGGGTGAAGAATGAATGTCCCCACTCACCCCCCTTTTTTTTCCCATTGGGCTATCCCTGCAGATAGGAAGGGATATTCCAGTTGACCCAGTGACACTTTGGGGAACAAGTGTGTGCTGGCTGGTTGGGTGAGGCAGAACCACACATTGGAGCTACAAGCTCAGAGTTGCGCTCTATATGCAAACGGCCAATTGGGCTGGTGGCTATTTAGTCTGTCTGCTTCACCTTTGTTCTGCAGTCCATCTCCTCTCCTGGAAGCTGGTTTTCCCCACTCAAAAATGTATCTTGTGACCTTTCCTGGGGCACAGAGAGGAGGGTCTGCCCACAGCGCCTCTTCAGCAGGTTTCTCCCTCCTCCACCATCATTTGTACAGCAACAGGAAAGCCAGAGTTACTGCTGTTTGGGAACATCGTCAGCTTGTGGGAAGCGTGTGCTTATTATTCCCTTTGGGCTTTCCCTTCATTCCCAGAGCTTAGGGCCTTGCCTCTCCTTGCTTCTGGCTTTAGGTTAAGCTGCCCAGGGTCTCTTGGTGAACTTCTTAGCTGAAGAAAGATGTGAACCTGACCTTCTACCAGGTTGTCAGCAGGGGGGGTAATAGAAAAGTTGAGATGGTGGCTGTGATCATGTGATGAGGTGACTCAAGTTAAAAAGGCTGGGCCTTCAACTGCAGGGTCATGGCCTCCATTTTTGATCCCCCCTCCCCCTGCAGATGTTCCCACCCTCTATTTATATTGAGCAGCAGAAAGCCGCGCATGACCAGTTTTGTTCTACTTGGAACTCGTCAGGTGCATGTAGCCATAGATCTTACTGTGGGTTCACACCTCTATTGGGAATTGAGCTTGTGCAGTATGGCATTTGACAATACAGGTAGTCCTTGCTTAATGACTGCCCTGTTTAGCAACTGTTTGAAGTTACAACGGCACTGAAAAAGTAACTTGATGACCAGTCCTTGCACTTATGACTGTTGCAGCATCCCTGCAGTCATGTGATTGAGATTCAGGTGCTTCACAACTGGTGAGCGTTTACAACTGTCACAGTATCCCACAGTCACGTGACTGCCATTTGCATGCTTCACAGCCTGTTTCTGTGAAGAATCAGAATCAATGGAGAAGCCAGCAGAGAAACCACAAGTGGGAGTCAAGTGATGTCTTACTTAATGATCCACAATGACTCGCTTAACAGCTGAATGGGAAGTGACGTCATAAGTCGGTCATGATCATGTGATGTCTCACTCAGTGACAGAGTCACTGGTACCATTTGTGGTAATTAAGCAATGACTACCTGAATACAGTGTATTAGCTTGAGGAGCTGTCTGGGCATTAGGGTTCAGCAGTGTTGCAGGAAGGCATGTCTAGAATTTGTCTTCAGAGTGATATACAGGTAGTCCTTGCTTACCAACTGCCCTGTTCAGCAACTGTTCAAAGTTACAACAGCACTGAAAAAGTAAACTTATCACCAGTCCTTGTACTTATGGCAGTCACAGCATCCCCACAGTCACATGATCAAAATCTGGGCACTTTGCAACCAGCGGACCTTTATGACTATCACAGTGTCCCACAGTCATGTGATCACCATTTGTGCACTTCATAGCTGGCTTCTCACAAGCAGAGTCAATGGAGAAATCGGCAGTGAAATTGCAAGTTGCAGTCATATGACATCTCACTTAATGACCACGGCGATTCGCTTAACGACCACAGGAGTGAGATTGTAAGTCAGGCACAGTCATGTGATTTTTTTTGTTTAACAACTGCTCTGTTTGGTGACAGAGTTTCCAGTCCAGTTGTGGTAGTTAAGCAAAGACTACCTGTATACTGTCCACCCTCCCTTTTCAGCTCTCAGGCACATAAAAAAAACCTGTGTGATTCTTGTATGACACTGTTAAACCCCTGATTGACTCTGTCTCCACCTTCTTTCCAGATTGACGATATCATTGACGGGGCTGTGAAGCCTCCCCCCAACAAGTATCCCATATTCTTCTTTGGCACCCATGAGACGTAAGTGCCAGGTTTGGGGTTCTGCACCTGAGTCGGTGGCATAAGCGTTGGGGGGTTGCTATCTCTCTCCAACCTCTCGCGTCCCTTCTTTGGTCTGTCCTTATCCTGCAGGGCGTTCTTGGGCCCTAAGGACCTGTTCCCTTATGAAAAGTACAAGGACAAATACGGGAAGCCCAACAAACGGAAAGGCTTCAACGAAGGGTTGTGGGAAATCCAGAACAACCCTCATGCCAGCTACAGCGCACCTCCGGTGAGTGAGCCCGTCTGACATGATGCGTTTGGTTGCCCCTCTGTTTTGGTATCGGGCAACAGTCGGCCCTAAGAACCAAAGTCACACTGCAGTAGAAGAGAATATCTGTAGCTCAGGGTTGAGCTGAGGAGCCCGCTGTCTGGGGAATTCTGGGAGCTGAAGTTCACGCATCTCAAAGTTGCCGCATTTGAAAAACGCTGCATGAGACTTCCAGCTGCTGTTGCAAAACTGCTTCTCATCACCAGGATCCTTCCTTTTGGCCAACCCTGCCCTTCTCACACGGCATCTTCGCAGCTGACTCTTTATTTTTATTTTTTGTTTATATACCAAATTTATCACCGCCCATCTCTTCGAAACAACTCTGGGCGGTTTACAGCAGAGATAAAATCAATTAAAATACAATATAAAAACAA